ACCAAAGTTTCCCACACTTGCACAGAGGGGGCCCCTTTAAGCTGACTCTTGGATCTTTCTGAAATTACCTAGCAGCCTTTGTTGACCTTTATTTATTTATTTTTTTGAGATAGAGTTTCGCTCGTGTTGCCCAGGCTGAAGTGCAATGTCACAATCTCGGCTCACTACAACCTCCGCCTCCTGGGTTCAAGTGAGTCTCCTGCCTCAGCCTCCCAGGTAGCTGGAATTACAGGCATGCACCACCACGCCAAGCTAATTTTGTATTTGCAGAAGAGACAGGGTTTCACTATGTTGTCCAGGCTGGTCTCAAATTCCTGACTTCAGGTGATCAACCCACCTTGGCCTCCCAAAGTCTTGGGATTACAGGCATGAGACACTGCACTCAGCCCCTCTGTTTGTTTTGACAAGATGTCAGGCTTATTATTTACATTTCCTGCCACACACTATTGTCCCTCAGATTCTCATTTTAATGGGAAATAAAATGGTACTTTAAAACCACAAGCTGATGTGCTAAATATCCTGTTATGAATTTGTATTAGACATACTGGTACAAATTCATGAATGTGTATATTCACACATACCTACATGTATTCAATATACATTCATGAGTTACTAAGTCCAATTCAAACATAGCCATCAGGATTTTCTTTTTCTTTCTTTTTTTTTTTTTTTTTCCAAAAAATTACATGTACTGTATTCTCTAACTCCCTTTTCTCACATTAAGAAGCCCGGTTCTAGGCTGGGTGCCATGGTTTATGCCTACAATCCCAGCACTCTGGGAGGCTGAAGCTGGTGGCTTACCTGAGGTTAAAAGGTCAGCCTGGCCAACATGATGAAACCGCATCTCTACTAAAAATATAAAAATTAGCTGGGCATGGGGGAGCACACCTGTAATCCCAGCTACTTGGGAGGCTGAGGCAGGAGAAATCGCTTGAACCTGGAAGGCGGAGGTTGCAGTGAGCTGAGGTTGTGTCACTGCACTCCAGCCTGAGTGACAGAGTGAGACTCCATCTTGAAAAAAAAAAAGGACCCTGATTCTCAAGAAAACAGGATGATTTAAAATATCCTATAAATAAATGGTTACTCCATTTTCTTCAGGCATAAAGTATAATCACGAAAAAAGCCTGATTGTCTTAAGTTTCACCTGGTTTTGCCTAGCCAAAAAGTTTACTTCCTTTGAAGTATTGTGTTATCTGTCTTGGTGTCAGCTGCTGCTTAGCTACCAGAGTCCACTTTTAAAATACTGTTTCATGTATTTAAAATAAAACATTTTCTAAAATTATAGGGTTTTGTTGTTGTTTCAGATTCCTATTATCTGTATGTTGGGTCTACTTTGTCCTTTTTTAATTAAACAAAAATAGTTTTAATTCCTTTTTTATTTTTACCACTTTATAAAGGTATTATCCATAGTGTTTATATTGCATCTGTTTTTATTTCCAATGTTTTCCTGAGCTTATCTTATTTCTGATTTTTCTAATCCTAAATTTTCATATTTTGTATCATTTTTCTAATACCTTTTAGCACATTTTAAATGAACTAGTTTTCCTCTGCTCTGTGGACCTTTCTGATAGATCTTCATTCTCCAGAAATCTTATCTCTGCTCTTCCTTTTCATTAAAATAACTTCATATGAAATTGATCTAAAAAATTTCCTTAGTTTATTTTTAAGTAAAATACCGTTTCTTAAACTTGGAGAAGGAAGCATGATTCACGGGATCTAAGTTTCTTAAGTGTTCAAAACCAGTATCCTGCTGAGAGTTTCTGGTTGACTATTCCCTATCCTACTTGTATTTGGACCTTCTGTTCATCTTTCTCTTGCTCAATTCGGCTTCACTTCAGCAGCTTCTCTTCTGTGGGGAACCCTGTCCTGGAAGACAGCGTTGGTGAACTGAGCGAATCAGTTTTTTTTTTTTTTTTTTTTTTTTTTTTTTCTGAGACGGAGTTTCGCTCTTGTTACCCAGGCTGGAGTGCAATGGCGCGATCTCGGCTCACCGCAACCTCCGCCTCCTGGGTTCAGGCAATTCTCCTGCCTCAGCCTCCTGAGTAGCTGGGATTACAGGCACACGCCACCATGCACAGCTAATTTTTAGTATTTTTAGTAGAGACGGGGTTTCACCATGTTAACCAGGATGGTCTCGATCTCTTGACCTCGTGATCCACCTGCCTCGGCCTCCCAAAGTGCTGGGATTACAGGCTTGAGCCACCGCGCCCGGCGCGAATCAGTTTTAATACTTCCTTGGGGCTAGCTTGCTTCATTCAGTCCTTCAGACCTTAACACAGGCCTCTTGAACTCACCCACCTTTGAAATGGGCAAAGCCTCTCCCACTTGAGTGCCGTTTTCCCCTTGGCCTGCTGTTTCAATGATGACCCTAAGGCTCTGTTCTCAGGCCATTAGATGCTGTTTCCTCACCCCACCTCACCTGAATTGATGCCAATACCAGCCTCTGGTCTTGTGGCTGTCTTCGCCCACTGACGTTGCTCATGGATTTTTGATGTTGCTATCCAGTTGCTGTTCTATGATTTGGAGACTGAAAACTATAGCACTGCTGCCGTCTTTCCCATATCTCACACTTGCTTTGTTTTAAGATGGAGTCTCCCTCTGTTGCCAGGCTGGAGTGCAGCGGGTGCTATCTTGGCTCACTGCAACCTCTGCCTCCAGGATTCAAGCGATTCCCATCTCAGCCGAGTAGCTGGGACTACAGGGGTGCATCAGCATACTTGGCGAATTTTTTTGTATTTTAGTAGAGACGAGGTTTCACCATGTTGGCCAGGATGGTCTCGATCTCCCGACCTCATGATCCGCCTGCCTTGGCCTCCCGCACTGTTGGGATTACAGGCTCGAGCCACCGTGCCTGGCCCTCCCACACTATCTGTAAAGATTTCCCAAACCAATCCTATTTCCAGCCTTATTCTGTACCTCTGGCTTTAAAGGAATCTGCATGTCTCCACTTACCAAGCTTCTCCAGACTTTTACCTTTTTGTCTTCTGCCACTGACAATGATCATTTCTTCATTAAATCACTTACCGCTAATCCATCAGTTTTGGTGCCTTATCTCTTCTTTCATTCTGCTAACCATTATGGATGTATCTCTTATTTCTTTTCTGTCACTTAAATAGCATTTTTAGTGAGTGAGGACATAAAGATTTGTAGACAATGTTTGAGTCACATTCCTAACTTGTTTTATAACAGGAAACATAAATAGAGAATTCAAATCTGCTTTTGTTCTTTGGATTAGGACTTTTCCAGATTGGGCCTTCTTGGTTCTTAGTTTTTATTTTTTAATAGCTTTAGTTCGATTTTTATTCCATTCTGATCTCATTTTCCCAGAATTCTCTACCAAGTCTCACTTAAAAATATAAATATGGGTATATCACAAATACTGTTTTTGTTTTGTTTTGAGATGGAGTCTCACTCTGTCACCCAGGCTGGAGTGCTGTGGGGTGATCTCAGCTCACTGCAACCGCCTCCCGGCTTCAAGCAATTCTCTTGCCTCAGCCTCCCAAGTAGCTGGCACTACAGGAGCACACCACCATGCCCAGCTAATTTTTGTAGTTTCAGAGACAGGGTTTCACCATGTTGGCCAGGATGGTCTCGATCTCTTGACCTCAGGATCCACCCACCTCGGCCTCCCAAAGTGCTGGGATTACAGGTTTGAGTCACCACGCCCAGTCTCACAAACATTTTTATAATTCCTTCACTTCCGAGCCTCTCTTGTGTAGCTGGTTCACTTTCCAGGCATCTGCCCATTTCTTTTCAGAGAGTACGTGTCACAGACCTTGCAGCTTTAGTATCTGATGTAGTGTTTAGCAGACTAGTTTTAAATACATATTAAGGAAGCTTTAGCCCACACTTCAAAAAATATGCATTAAAACTGAGCCTATTTTGAAGTTTAAAAATATTAATGATATAAGAGGTACTTCCTTCCATATGAGGCTGAAAATTTTCCTCCAGTGTCAACCTATAATCCAACCAAACACTTCAGGGATAAGAGAGTACTGTCTCATATGTGTAATGATCTTTACCCTTCCAATTACCCCTCCCATCTCAACAAACAACTTTATTTTCTTCTTCTTCTTCTTTTTTTTTTTTGAGACACAGTCTCGCCCTGTCCCTCAGACAGGAGTGCAGTGGTGCAATCTCAGCTCCCTGCAACCTCTACCTCCCAGGTTCTAGCAATTCTCCTGCCTCAACCTCCCTGGTAGCTGGGATTACAGGCACCAGCCACCACGTCTGGCTAATTTTTGTATTTTTAGTAGAGATGGGGTTTCACCATGTTGGTCAGGCTGTTCTCAAACTCCTGACCTCAGGTGATCCAATCTCAGGTGATCTACCTGCCTCGGCCTCCCAAAGGGTGGGATTACGGGTGTGAGCCACTGTGCCCAGCCCCAACAACTTTATTTTCTTTTTTTTCTTTTTTTGAGACGGAGTTTCGCTCTTGTTACCCAGGCTGGGGTGCAATGGCGCGATCTTGGCTCACCGCAACCTCCACCTCCTGGGTTCAGGCAATTCTCCTGCCTCAGCCTCCTGAGTAGCTGGGATTATAGGCACAAGTCACCATGCCCAGCTAATTTTTTGTATTTTTAGTAGAGACGGGGTTTCACCACGTTGACCAGGATGGTCTCGATCTCTTGACCTTGTGACCCACCCGCCTCGGCCTCCCAAAGTGCTGGGATTACAGGCTTGAGCCACCGTGCCTGGCCTTATTTTCAATGTATCCCTGAAGGAAGGACAGGAAAGGCAAGTGGAAAACTTTAAAGCCTGGAGAAATACAGTGATTTCCTCTAGGACCGTGGTTTCTCCATTTACTGTCGTTCTACTTGACAACATCACAGGAATATTTAGAGTCGATTTTTATAAACTCGAGGGGATTTTCCCAATTCACATTAAAACTTCCAAAAACCTGTCAGAGATACGATTATTATTGTACTTAGCTTCTTATAAAAATATAAAAAGCTGAGAAAAAAAACAAAACAAAACAAAAAAAAAACAACCCCAAATACAAAGTTAATAATACAAAATGTATTCTATTTTTAAAATGGCACAGAACTAAGGAAAAATCCTTCAGGCTGATAAGTGCCTCATTCCCAAACAGGGACTTCAAATTGATAAGATTCTCTGACAGGCAAAAGTTTCACAGCAGTCTGCATTTACTGGAATATTGCTCTTTGAACACGTACACATTCAGGTTTGTTAAATATATCCTCTTCCGCTTCTGGAGTTAGTTGGATGTTATCTCTGACCGGGGACAGGGGCTTCTTAGAAGAAGGAAGCTTTTCGGAATCTCTGCAAAATACAATAACATAAATTGGGTATTTTTAGGGTGCTGATTATTAGAGCAAAAATATTCTACCTGGACAAAATAGAGGGATATGAAGAAGGTAAGACCCTTTGCTGCACAGTCCCTTTGAATTCATCATACAACACAATCGGGTTCTCCTTTAAGCACTTCCAACACGTTTTGAGTCTCACTTCTTAGTGCCTCTTCTTGCTTTCAAAATCACCATCAGTGTAGGTGCTAAGCCACCACTAGCTGTATGAGCTCAGGCAGAGTAAATAGACTACTTTAATTCTTTTCTCCTTAGTCGCCTCTCAAATCGGCTAAGAAGCAATATAAGTGAAGCAGGAACAAATCAATTTTTCTTTTTTTTTTTTTTTTTGAGACAGAGTCACGCTCTGTTGCCCAGGCTGGAGTGCAATGGTGCGATCTCGGCTCACTGCAACCTCCACCTCCCAGGGTCAAGCAATTCTCTTACCTCAGCCTCCCAAGTAGCTGGGACTACAGGCACACACCACTAATTTTTGTATTTTAAGTAGAGATGGGGTTTCACCATGCTGGCCACGATGGTCTCAAACTCCTGACCTCAACTGATCTGCCTGCCTCAGCCTCTCAAAGTGCTGGGATTACAGGTGTGAGCCACCATGCCTGGCCGAAGCCCTATCTTCCTATCTTTTATTCTCCTCTCGTTTTTTTTTTTCCTTTTCTGGAAGGAAGCTATCTATAAAAATTAGTCCTGTTATGACGATATCACAGGTAATTCTACCCTGTCAATGAAACTTAAATACCAGTAAGTCTTGTTTTCTAAAAGGCATTTAAGAATATTGTTGTACCCTTCCTTTCTCTCTAGCAATAGTCTTCAAAGCATGTTCCACAACCCCTGGAGAGTCCCAAGGCGGGTTTCCAAGATCAAAACTTTCTTACAACATTCAGGCTTTGTTTGTTCTTTCCACTATGCTGACAGTTGTATGAACGTTTCTAAGGCAGAACTGAGTGAAACTGCTGACAGGTCAGCGTGATCAGGACAGTGGCGGGTACAGTCACACCAAGAGTACTTACGTTCTCCACCTCCGTGCACTTGCAGTTAAAAAAGAGTCTCAAAAACGTTCTTGATGGAAGCAGTAAAAATCACGAATTTTACTCAATTTTATTTTTTATTTTTTTGAGACAGGGTCTCACTCTGTTGCACTCTGAGTGCAGTGGTGCCATCTCGGCTCACTGCAACCTCCACCACCAGGGCCCAAGCAATTCTCCCAGCTCAGCCTCCTGAGAAGCTGGGACTACAGGCCCACACCACCACGCTTGGCCAATTCTTTGGTATACTTTTAAATATTCTGTGACAAAATGGAAAGCACAAACAAAACACTTCTATTGTATATGGAAGTAAATAGTTTATCTCAAGCAAAAACATGTGTGACACTAAGGTTATTCAAGATCTGTCTAAAAGGAACAAAGAAGGGCCAGGTGCAGTGGCTCACATCTATAATCCCAGCACTTTGGGAGGCTGAGGCAGGTGGATCACTTGAAGTCAGGAGTTCGACACCAGCCTGGCCAATATGGTAAAACCCAATCTCTACCAAAAATACAAAAAATAGCCGAGTATGGTAGCAGGTGTCAGTAATCCCAGCTACTTGGGAGGCTGACGCAGGTGAATCACTTGAACCCAGGGGGCAGAGGCTGCAGTGAGCTGAGATTGCGCCACTGCCCTCCAGCCTGGGTGACAGAGAGCGACTCTGTCTCAATATAAACAAACAAACAAAATGAACAAAGAGAGCCTGTTACTTTAAAGAAAAACAACTAACAGTATTTGTTGCTAATGATAAAATTCAAGCTTCCAAGTGAAAATTAAAATTTTGGAAAACATATCTGCCATGTAACAATTTTCCAATATTAAAAGCTTTGCTGACTGCAACTTTTTTCTTATATTGTATAATAAAATATGTCAGTATTTGGAAGTTACATCGCAATGAACCAATATCTTCCAAATGACCAAATCATGATGCTGCATGTAAAAGATGCATTAGAACTACACCAGTGTACGCCAGACAATGTGGTTCACACCTGAAATAAAAAATTAAACCGGGGGTGGTGGCACACGCCTATAGTCCCAGCATCTCAGCAGGCTGAGGCAGGAGGACTGCTTGAGCTCAGGCGGTTGAGGGTACAGTGAGCCATGGCTGTGCCACTCTAGCCGAGGCCAACAGAAAAAAGGCACGCCAGTAGACTGTAATATAACACAGAGTTTAAAGAGTCAGTTAACACGGTTTCATATTCTACACTACAACTAACCTTAAGAAACTACAAGTCATTGAGTTTGGGTGTAACTGCAAAGAAGAAAATTTACCATCATCTAAAAAGGCTTCAAAAGATCTATTTTCCAACTACAAATATGTCTGTTCCCTTCATATAATCAACCAAAACACCCAATTATAACAGATCAAATGCAGAAGCAGATATAAGAATCTAGCTGAGTTTTATTAAACCAGACAATGAAGATTTGCAAACTAGACAGTTAAGATTTGCAAAATGAAATGCAAAACCATACCACTTTTCTCACTTTTTGAGGGGATTTGGAAAATATAGCTACTTATTTTTAAAATGTACTATCTACTGGCTGGGTGTGGTGGCTCATGCCTGTAATCCCAGGACTTTGGGAGGCTGAGGTGGGTGAATCACCTGGGGACAGGAGTTCAAGACCAGCCTGGCCCAACATGGCGAAACCCCATCTCCTAAAAAAAAAAAAAAAAAAAAAATGTACTATCTATATTCATAGGTAATAGGCTGATTGCTATTTTAAAATAAGTATTTTTAAATGTCTATTTCAATTTATATGTTGGTATGATGGTTAAGTGTTGACAAATATAACCTACACAAACCAAAGTGTTTTGGGGCCTTTAATAATTTTTAAGAGAATAAAGCATTCCTAAAAACACACAGTTTGAAAACTGCTGTCATATGGTTTAATTCTAGACTTTACACAAAGTAAAATAAGAAATGATTGTCCAGTACTTACTTATTTACAAAGCGTTTGCCACTCATACCACGTCATCTAGGACAATACTTCTATTAGGTAAGGTTTAATCCTATCATTCTATATAATTTTTAAAAACTTGCATTAAGCTTAGCACATTTTTTTACTGAGAATGAGAAAATAACTATAAATAAGGTAATGCTACTCTGTGGCTAATTTTGTGATTAACAGAAGGAAGTATTATAGTTAACAAAATTTTAACTATATCAAGAATTAATTTTTTTTCTTGAGACAGAATTTCGATTTTGTTGCCCAGGCTGGAGTGCAATGGCATGATCTCGGCTCACTGCAACCTCCGTCTCCCAGGTTCAAGTGATTCTCCTGCCTCAGCCTCCCAAGTAGCTGGGATTACAGGCATGCGCCACCACACCTGGCTAATTTGGTATTGCTAGTAGAGCCGCGGTTTCTCCATGTTGGTCAGGCCTTGGTCAGGCCTGTCTTGAACTTCCAGCCTCAGGTTATCCACCTGCCTTGGCCTCCCAAAGTGCTGGGATTACAGGCATGAGCCACCACGCCCAGTAGATTAATTCTTTTAAAACAGTGCTGGCCACATATACTGCAAATCTGGCAAATTCATCATATAAACTCAATGATCCTCCCCATTTTAGATGTGCTAAATTAGAGAAGTATGATACAGCACGGTACTTCTACCTCTCGTTTAAAATTTTACTCTTGTTACAATCCTGAGAGAGAAGAAAAGGAAGGCAAGACACTTAAGGCTTAATTTGCTTAAGATCAGAGAGACTCCAAAACCAGACTGAAAACTGGTTTTTTAGTTTGCCATCTTTTCTGAAAAGAAGGTATAGAAATTAAAATTAAGTGTACAGAGTCAGCTAAAAAAAAGAGAAAAATAATTATTTTATAGTGAGAGAAATAAAAATGGACTCATGAAACTAGAAAGAGTGGGGAGAAAGGGATGGAAATTACACAAGATAATAGTTTATCTTATTTCAGAATAAGAAACAAGGCAACTCACTTTTTAAATCCAAAATTTTTCCAGAGCTCATTGAGTTTTATCTGTAATCCCGGCTTGTTCTCGGCATTATGATGCTTTCTCTTCTGGATGCTTGCTGGCTTCTTGCTCAGCCCACTGGCTCTGGCAGGTCCTAGAGGTTTGATCTTGGTTGCAGAAAGAGAGTCTGCAGAACTAGACTTATATAGCCCAGGAACCTGAAGATTAAATACCCACTTTAAGACCATTCTGTTAAAGCAACTACTTTTAGTTAATTTCAAACTATTCTTTATACATGAGAACAAAAGAATAACTCATAAGCAATAGTAAAAATGCGCTATTTATAAACATCTATTACAGAAGTCATCATAAATTATTTTAACAGGTAATATGTAAACCTGGCATAAGATTTAAAAGTTCTCTCCTTTGAAAAAGAACAGAAAGCAAAATGAATCTCCCTCACTACCTCCCTTTCCAGAGGCAACTGCTGCACCCAGCTTCCTGTGTATCCACTGCATCATGCATGCACGCACACACACACGCACACACACAGGCACGCACGCACGCACACACACATGTGCGCGCACACAGGCACACGCACACACACGCGCGTGCATGCACAGGCACACACGCACACACACATGCGCGCGCACACACACAGGCAGCTTGGTATACGTTGCTGTGCACTTCATTTTTCTCACTTAATATATCTTGATTCCACTTGATGTACCTTAAGATATTTTTTTCAGTTCACAGGAAATAGGATTTTCTTTTGAATAGGTTCTTCAAAAGAAGAACAGACACGTTATTCCACTGTATATACATGCCATAACTTACTGAAACAAACCTCTAATGACATTTAGGCTGCTTCTACTAAGGGTTGATTTTTAGCCTGTGGACAGAATGGAGACAATGAAGCTTTGCTGTTGTTCTTTAGGTAAGAATCAGGTATATTGAAAAAGGTTGACAATATGAATCTGGCAATGCGTGTATAACGAACGAAAAAGTTAAAACAAAATAAAGGTTCACACAGTAAAGATGAAGTCCTTAACTAGGTGTTGGTGATGCGGGAAGTGAGGGAGAAAAAAAGAAGACAAAGAAATAAATGTTAGAATCTGGAGAGGTATCAATGTTTGGTTATTTTTCTCTAACTGCTGTTGAAGAAGAATCAAAATTAGATACAATTTTATTTAACAGATGAAACCAAAAACGTTTGAGAAGAAATAGTTAGAGATAAAAGACAAGAGTTTGATTTTAGTATTAAAATGGGTATCAGGGTGAGCTCACCTGGAGAGTCACCAAAAGAGAAGTGATAGTTAAATCCCTGACAATACAAATCTTCTGAGAGTAATAACAATGTGATGGTTTACTATCTAGACAGAATTCCTTCTGGGAAAGTACTTTCTCCATCTCCAGTTCTATCCATCAGTGTAAATAATTCTATATGAAATCTTTCCAGACTTCTTAATATGATGTCACAAACAGGCAAATGTGTACATGAATTTTTAAAGTATTTCAACAAACAAAAATACTACTATGCATATTGTTAACATGTTTTTCCTTTTCACTAAAATGTAAATGTCTTTCCAAGTTAGTAGATATGACTACAAAAGCCTTCTTGCTCAAAAGTTTTAAAAATAATCTCATATTTATATATTTCATATTTATATCTTTAATATATTGGAATTTGCTATGAACTGAAGGTTGTTTCCCCCAACCCTTGATTCATGTGTTGAAGTTCCAACCCCTAATGTGTGGTATTTGAAGGTGGGATCTTTGAGAGGTAATTAGATCACGAGAGTGGAGCCCTCATGAACAAGACTAGTGCCCTTTTCAGAAGAGGCACGAAAGAGGTGTTCTGTCCCTCTGCCATGGAAGGACACAGCAAGAAGGCATCTGTCTGCAAACCAGGAATGGGCTCTCACCAGACCCCAAATCTGCTGGCGCCTAGATCTTGGACTTCCCAATCTCTAGAACTGTGAGAAATAAATATTTATCATTTAAGCAAACCCAGTTTCTGGTATTCTGTTAGAGCAACCCATATTGACTAAGGTAGAATTTAGATTTATATTGTGTGAGATGGACATCTGTCAAGTGGATAGGCAGGGCCATTTATTAAAAATTTAAAATGTTTTTATGCACTAGAAACAGAATATATGCTCATGGTAGAAAAATATGAGAAAAACAACAGAAAAAAGTTCACCTATATTTCTACCATGTAAGAGCTAAAGCCAATGATTATTTAATAAGTATTTAATAACTCACCCCCTTATTATTTTGATTATTTCCAATTTTTCACTATTATAACTAATGTAGTATTAAGTATTCTTTTTTTTTTTTGAGCCAGAGTTTCGCTCTTGTTACCCAGGCTGAAGTGCAATGGCACGATCTCGGCTCACCGCAACCTCCGCCTCTTGGATTCAGGCAATTCTCCTGCCTCAGCCTCCTGAGTAGCTAGAATTACAGGCACGCGCCACCATGCCCAGCTAATTTTTTGTATTTTTAGTAGACACGGGGTTTCACCACGTTGACCAGGATGGTCTCGATCTCTTGACCTCGTGATCCACCCAAAGTGCTGGGATTACAGGCATGACCCACTGCGCCCAGCCGTATTAAGCATTCTCGTACTTAAATGCTCAGTGTTTCCTTATGCTAATGTTCTAAAATGCACTTACTCGTTTAAATTATTTGAATTCTTTCAAACTGTTTTCTAGAAATGGCAGACCAATTCTTACCTTTTGAAATATGTAATTATCTCACTATAATCTCATTTAAAAAATGAGTATAATTAAAAACATTTTTTGGAAATGTGAAGAGGCAAGAAACTATTTTATTATTTTAATTTGCACTATTTGATTACTAATGAGGTTAAACATACAGTTAAACATTAGGTTAAATTAATGAGGTTAAACATATATCAATCAGGCCGGGCGTGGTGGCTCATACCTGTAATCCCAGCACTTTGGGAGGCCGAGGCGGGTGGATCACAAGGTCAGGAGATTGAGACCATCCTGGCCAATGTGGTGAAACTCCATCTCTACTAAAAATACAAAAAAAAATTAGCCGGGCGTGGTGGCACGCACCTGTAGTCCCAGCTACTCAGAAGGCTGAGCCAGGAGAATTGGTTGAACCCAGGAGATGGAGGTTGCAGTGAGCCGAGATTGCGCCACCGCACTCCAGCCTGGTGACAGTGAGACTCTGTCTCAAAAGAAAAAACATATATTAATCAGCCATTTGTACTTTTCTTTTTGTGACCTGTTTAGGACCTTTATCCATTTTTTGTTAGGAAATAGTGTTTTTACACTGATGAACAAGAACGCTTAATACATAAAATATGCTTTAATGTGTGTTTAATATATAAAATATGCTTTACTATGTAGTAACACAAATATTTATATATTTTTATTTAAAAAACTTAGCTTATGGATACACAGTTTCTAGAAAGCCTTTAGGCAGTATGTATCAATGTTAAACCACACATGCCTTGGGACCATAATAACACTCCATGGAATTCATCCTTACAAACTAATCAAGAATATATCCTCAAATATCCACAAGATCTTGGTTGCAGTATTATTTGCTAAAGCAAAAAAATTTTAGGGTAAATGACAAAAATAAGGCGATTGGCCAAACTCATACAATTGCATATTATAAAGTCATTACAAGTAATGACTAAAAGTACATGGAAAAGAACCTTTCGGCCAGGCGCAGTGGCTCAAGCCTGTAATCCCAGCACTTTGGGAGGCCGAGGCGGGTGGATCACGAGGTCAAGAGATCAAGACCATCCTGGCCAACACGGTGAAAACCCATCTCTACTAAAACTACAAAAAATTAGCTGGGCATGGTGGCACGTGCCTGTAATCCCAGCTACTCAGGAGGCTGAGGCAGGAGAATTGCCTGAACCCAGGAGGCAGAGGTTGCGGTGAGCCGAGATCGCGCCATTGCACTCCAGCCTGGGTAACAAGAGCGAAACTCCGTCTCAAAAAAAAAAAAAAAAAAAGAACTTTTCATATACGCTGCAAGAGAAAATAAGTTTCACAACTTAAACACCTAAGTCAAGCACAAACATGGTACTAGGAAATCTTAAAGTAGACATTTTGTTTGTTTGTTTGTTTGTTTTTAAAGAGGGGGTTTCACCATGTTGGTCAGGCTGGTCTTGAACGCCCGACCTCAGGTGATCTGTCCACCTTGGCCTCCAAAGTGCTTGATTACAGGCGTGAGCCACCACGCCCAGCCAACATTTTTATATAAATGATACTACAGGCATTTTGATTCTTAATTCTGCTTGTACTCCTCATTTTCTAATAGTAAGCATACCCTGCTTCTGAAATTAAAAAAAAAAAAAAATTAAATTAATATTTTACCTTGTTCCTTAGAAGGGTGTCTTTTTTTGAGAAATGAGATAAATGTAGCTTGGAAGTCTGGTCACCTTGACTGTCAAATAACTTCATATTGCAATCAGATTCCTGGAGTCCCCAGATCAAAAAAATTTTAAAAAATTAGATTTTTACTATAGAATTTTTATGGCAACAAACCAATAGTCAACAAAATGGAAAATAATTAAGAACATGGGATAGAATTAATAAAAGAAAATGAATCTAATATGGAAAAGATGATGTTTGCCAATTTAATTGAAGAAGCTAGCAAGATGTTTCAGCTGGGGAGATAAATTATATAAAATATTTAAAATTGAAGGTTTTTCTGAACTGTTAGAAGAGGATATCAAAATGCAGACTCAGATAAAACAAGAGTCTCCTACTGTAAAAATGTTGTGTTACATATAACAGTTTTCATCTTACTAGCTAAAACAAAGTTGAATTGTTGGAGATCCATCTCTTCTTTTAATCATGTAACATATTCAACTTTAAAGAGAACAAAAGGCATCCACTTTCAAGTGGAGTAGTATTGTATTAAATGCACTTTACCTTTAGCAATGACTTTCAGATCGACCCTCTGCCCTCAATTCTATCAGTTAAGACTTTTCTACAGATGGAGAGTTCCCTTATAATATATATGCATTCCCAGGAAAATCAAATAAAAGAGGACAATGAGGCCGGGCACGGCGGCTCACGTCTGTAATCCCAGCACTTTGGGAGTCCAAGGCGGTAGATCAACTGAGGTCAGGAGTTTGAGACCAGCCTGGCCAACATGGTGAGACCCCGTCTCTATTAAAAATACAAACATTAGCCGGGCGTGGTGGCGCGTGCCTGTCATCCCAGCTACCTGGGAGGCTGAGGTGGGAGAACTGCTTGAACTTGGGAGGTGGAGGTTGCAGTGAGCCAAGATCATGCCACTGTACTCCAGCCTAGGCAATAGAGCAGACTCCATCTCAAAACAAAAAAAGGCAATGAATGGAAATTCAGAAGCGTTTACATTTCTGCATTTTTCCAAAAGGTTTAAGGTGGGATGCTCATACTTTTATCTTGGGATGCTCCACAGTATTACATAGTTAAAAAACCCAATGGCAAAAAACACTCCATTAACTTGTATTACACGTTACAGAAACTCTAACATGTTGGCCAGGTTGGTCTCAACTGATCCGCTCGACTCAGCCTCCGACCACACCTGGCCCCTTATAAGGTCTTAGACATTATCTGAATTCAAGAGTATATTAAGGATTTAAACAGCAAATTTATAATAACTTTTCATTTCACAGATTATCATTCTGCCTATGTCTTAACTGTGGCACACTTTGAGTTACCCATCAATGGGACACACAGTGATTCAGGAAATACGAGTTAAATATATCGGAGTTTAAAGTGTGAAAGATACAGAGAAGATACCTTCAAATGAATAAAATGTGAACTTTCTGCATAGAATTTAGAATGAAAAATTAATATAGCTAGTAATTTCCATGTAGGAAAAATTTCCTCAATTGTTTGAGTAACACCCCCTTTTCTCTTACATATAAATTTGAAAACAAAGCCTTCACAATTTGACTTACCTCTGAATCAGAGTCCTTACTAGAGGACTGAGAAAGCTTTGATGTGTTTGAACTCTGCAGTGATAATTCTCCACTTTGCTGGGACTGCGAAGAACATGCCCCTTCTCGTGAGGGATGGGACTCATCATCACTGGACTCATCGCTCTTTAACTGAGGCACGTCAGACATATTATTCTCAGGCAGAGAGGTGGGGGAGTCGCTCTTTCTTCGAAACCGCTGCAGTGCTGTGCTCAGAGAGGGGCTCGGTGTTCTTGAAAAACCTCCAAGACCTCCAGTCCAACTAAAACAACTTCTTAGTGTTCCCAAAGTGGGTGGTGAAATGGTCCTTGTGAATCTGCTGCTCTTAAAAGAGGGGGACTCTTCATCTGTAAGCACTGTTGCCTTGTCTGGAGTATGATCACTCGGAATATGATCACTTGGAATGTCATCACTTGAATTGTGTGTTACATTTGTGTCAATCTGCCTCTTGCCTTCCTGGTCTCGATAATTTGATTCATGCAAACTGTTTTCTTTATCTGTGACAGCAGTTTCATCCAGAGGGAGGCTGCTCACTTTGTTTGATACACAGTCAATAGAATCTGGAGAACTGCAAAAAAACCTAACAGAAAAACAGCAACAGAAAGAAAAAAGAAGTGTAAGTATTCTACAGTTTTCTCAAAGGGGTATCAAGATTCAAAATAGAATAGCTTCTTTTTGAAAAAAGCCTCATAAATACATAATTTCATAGAGGCATAAAAATTTTGGTCAAAATTCAAATTTTGATTATGCCCACATTCACACATTTAAAAATTTCTTTATACAATGAATTTTTAGGCAGGAGTTTCTAAAAGCAGTCGTCTATATATACATGTATTTGGAACTTCTGTACTTTATACCTAATCATCATACAGGTAGGTGTTCTTTCCCTAAATTTTTAAACTCGCAAATAGAAGATAAACCCCTTGAGGGCAGGTACTTCCCACGTCTTTGTATCTTCCACAGTACCTAGGACGGGGCTAAAACATGGCTGATGGTCAAACACATGAACAGATACGAAAATACGCAACCAAAAGGACAATTTACAACTATTCACTCATATTTTGTAGGAAGCAAAATTAAAGGAATTAGCCATTTAGGGCTGCGTGTGGTGTCTCACGCCTGTAATCCCAGCTCTTTGGGAGGCTGAGGTAGGTGGATCACCTGAGGTTGATAGTTTGAGACCAACTATCTCCTCCTCCTGGGTTCAAGCTATTCTCCTGCCCCCACTCCCCACCCCCCACCCCGAGAAGTTGGCATTACAGGCACCTGCCACCACACCCAGCTAATGTTTGTACTTTTAGTAGAGACAGGGTTTCACTATGTCGCCCAGGCTGGTCTCAAACTCTTGACCTCAGGTGATCCACCCACCTTGGTCTCCCGAAGTGCTAAGATTACAGATGTGAGCCACAGTGCCCGACCCTATCTAGTCATTATTAGATGTTGCTATATAACATAGGCCAGAAAATGATACATCAAAGACTTACTCCTGATAATTATTTCACAGAAAGCTGACAGAGAACAAAATTATTTCTCTAGGTATCTGTTAATGCACCCTCTGAACAAGTTATTAGTGAAGCATCTAAACTATGTAAAGCAACGATGTACTGTCTCGAACTTGAGGATTTCCTTAAGCTTCTACAATGACTAAATAGGCAAGCCCTGTAGAGATACACAAACATTCTCATTTGTCGTCTCCAAAGAGTTCAACATGAAGCAGCAGCACGGGGAAACTCTACTCTCACCCCAGCGGAAAAATAAAACCAAGCCAGAAAAACTGTTCCAAGTGAGAGAAGTCAGTGTGTATTAGCTAGAGCACTGTGTTCCATCTTTTGTGGCCAATTTTTCATCATTTCACTGTTAGCAAACACCTTTAATGAGGGCGACTAGCAAAAGAAGAATCAAAACATCATTTAATCATATTGTATCGCGACTGTTTCCTTGAGAAGACTCGATGGGAGAAAGGTTTGAAACATCGCCAGAGGTGAAACTAAGAAACCACCAGTGCGCCGGGAGCGGTGGCTCAAGCCTGTAATCTCAGCACTTTGGGAGGCCGAGGCAGGTGGATCACGAGGTCAAGAGATCGAGACCATCCTGGTCAACATGGTGAAACCCCGTCTCTATTAAAAATACAAAAAATTAGCTGGGCATGGTGGCACGTGCCTGTAATCCCAGCTACTCAGGAGGCTGAGGCAGGAGAATTGCTTAACCTAGGAGGCGGAGGTTGCGGTGAGCCGAGATCGCGCCATTGCACTCCAGCCTGGGTAACAAGACCGAAACTCCGTCTCAAAAAAAAAAGAAAGAAAAGAAACTACCAGTCAGTGCTCCATTCCCTCACGCTCATCTCCAACCATCACGGTTAGACAAAGCTGACTGCAGCCTGATTAACTAAACTTGAAAAACAGGCTGGGTGTGGTGGTTCATACCTGCAATCCCAGCACTTTGAGAGGCCGAGGCGGGTAGATCACTTAAGTCAGGAGTTCGAGATCAGCCTGGCCAACATGATGAAACCCTGTTTCTAACTAAAAACATTAAAACTAGCTGGTCGTGGTAGCAGGTGCCTGTAATCCCAGCTACTTGGGAGGCTGAGGCAGGAGAATTGCTTGAACCCGGAAGGTGGAGGTTGCAGTGAGCCACGATCGTGCCACTGCACTCCAGCCTGGGTGACACGAGCAGAATTCCGTTTCATATAAAAATAAAAAACTTGAAAAACAAACAAAGACTATTCATTCCAAGTCTTCTAGTGGAATACAGGGGCTGGTAACTTTTCTCTCTTATTGTCGCCCTATCATGCCTAGATCACTTCTGACACTTCATTTCCTTTTTCATGCGTGGCACCACCATCCGAAGTCAACACAGTAAGAGTTATTCACTGTATGTTATAAGGCACCGTCTTAGGTGCATTACTGATCGTAACTCATTTAATTCTCTCATTGGTCCTAAGGCTGTTATCACTGTTATCCCCAATTTTTAAAAGAAGAAAACTGAAGCACCCAGAAGTTAACTTGCTAAGTCACACATCTCATAATGAACACAACAGGATTCAAATCCAGGGAGCCTGACTCCAGGGTCGAAATTCCTAATCCCCAAATTAAACCGACTCTTCAAAATCTCATCATTGCTCCCAGGGTCTACAGCAGCAGCCTGACTGATCTTTGCGCCCCCCTTGTGGTCCTCTCGAATCCACTCTCCACAGGGCACTCAGAGTGGTCGCTCTCAAACAGGAATCAAACCATACACCTCCCCTGATTAAAACCCTCTCAAAGTTTTTATTTACTTTTTTGTCTTCTCGAGATGGAGTCTTGCTCTGTCTTACCCGGGCTGGACTGCAGTGGCGTGATGGCTCATTGCAACCTCCTCCTAGGTTCAAGAGATTCTCCTGCCTCAGCCTCCCAAGTAGCTGGGACTACAGGTACCCACCACCATGCCCAGCTAATTTTTGTACTTTGGAGTAAGGACAGGGTTTCACCATTTCACCCAGGCTGGTCTTGAACTACTAACCTCAGGTGATCCACCCACCTTGGTCTCTCAAAGTGCTGGGATTACAGGCGTGAGCCACCGTGCCAGCGACCCTCCCAATGTTTCTATCACCTCTAAAGATTAAAAGTTCCCATCTTGGCATAAAAGCCTTCAAGGAGAGGTCTCCTGCCTGTTTCTACTCCCTCACCACCTACCTTTCCCCAGCTTGAATTCTGGCAGAGGTCCTCACAGCACTGATGGACAGTAAGGAGCTGTCCGGGGCCCCGAGCTGCGCCCCATCTTTATGTCTTTGCTCAGCTGTCTGACTCTACTGGGAAGGTACTTGGCATTGGTCTTTTCCTGCTGCACCTGTCATTTAAACCTAGACAGGGACCCCCAACACTCATCCCTTCCCTCTCACCCTTTCCAACCATTGCTCCAGCATTAGATGCCCCTTGAACGCCTTCAAAATACCATATTCATGCCTTTATCTCTGTACTCGCCATATTGTATGGAAAGATTTTTGTTTATGTACTTATTTTTCCAACTGAACTACAAGCTTCTCAAAAACAAAAACAATGTCTTTCTCATTTTTGAACTATAGCACCTAGCATGGCATCAGATTCTCAATTAATATTACAGCTCCACAGTCATCCACATTAGAATATATTTCTGAAAATACTTTGTAAAATTGTATTAGGCCCTCAAAAGAAACCAAAAAAGTAGAACCAAAAAAGAAGAGGATGGGAATTCCCCAAAGAACAGAATTTCGGTAATGCAAAATTAACAACAGAGGCTACAATCGTCTTTCATTTTGATTCTGTACGGAGAGATGGCAAAAGTAAGAGAAGTGAAGGGGATTTATGTCAGAACTAAGACAATATATGATAAAATTGTAATCAGATTAAGGCAGGTTCTATACCTGCTTCCCTCTAGGCTCAATGTTCATTCGAGACAAAATAAATACCAACAGAATACAACAGACAATCCACATTCTGGAGACGTGACTATACCTGCTTCTGGTCCCTGGAACCACAACGGCACCACTTTCTTCATTTTTCCTCTGTAAAAATGCTGCAAATTTATTTCTTGTCCTAGGTGGAGTGCTTAAGCTCTCTTTGTTAGCAGGTCCATCTGCCAGGTCAGGCACAAACACTTCCGAAGAGCTCAACAATTTATTACCCTCACAGCTATGTTTCTTGGTCTTCTTCGTAAATGAAAGAGAATACTGACTCAGCAGATCATCTTCTGACAGCTCTTCTAAATAAAAACAAAATCATCTGTAAATCTTTGTTTCACTTGTACGTAGAGATTTGGCCTTGACTTCAGTCTATATTCCATTGTCCTAAAAAGAAGGACTTTTTTTTTTTTTGAGACGGAGTTTCGCTCTTGTTACCCAGGCTGGAGTGCAATGGCGCGATCTCGGCTCACCGCAACCGCCGCCTCCTGGGTTCAAGCAATTCTCCTGCCTCAGCCTCCTGAGTAGCTGGGATTACAGGCACGCGCCACCATGCCCAGCTAATTTTTTTTGTATTTTTAGTAGAGACGGGGTTTCACTATATTGACCAGGATGGTCTCGATCTCTTGACCTCGTGATCCACCCGCCTCGGCCTCCCAAAGTGCTGGGATTACAGGCTTGAGCCACCGCGCCCGGCTAGGACTTTTTTTTTTAAACTATGCCTCATAAAGGAAAACACAAGGATGATTTATAAAAATTCCCTTAGCTGTTTTATAATTTCACACATTAAGATTTCATATCAATTGTTTATACGATTTCATGTTAAAATTACCCAAAGCAAAATTTCAGCGCATAGTCAATCCTGTGTGGCAATGTATTTATTATACTAAGGGTCTAATTTTGAATGTTAAAAAAATCACCGGGAAAATTTATATGTAAATATATGGTTAATGATAAATCATTAAAATGTTCCAATAAAACCAGCAGCTATTGATACATATGATTTATGTGTTCTGTTTTTTTAATTTTTATTTTTAATCTTTATATTTTTATTTTTTCTTCTTTAGCAGGACAAAATGGACTAAGAGTGTTCTGGATTTTCATGTATATTGGGACTGTCATATGATTTGTGCTATAGCTCTGATCTTCATTACTTCACTGTGAGCCCCAGGAAGATTGCTGTGTGTCAGATGTACTCTGTATATTAAAATAAATCACGAGAGAGGCCAGGCGCAGTGGCTCACACCTGTAATCCTAGCACTTTGGGAGGCCGAGGTGGGTGGATCACCTGAGGTCAGGAGTTCAAGACCAGCCTGGCCATCATGGTGAAACCCCATCTTATAAAAAAATTTAAAAAAAAAAAAAAATCACAAGACAAAATAATAACCAAAGTTTAAAGTCTGGGATAGGTAAGTACAAAGAGATAGCACAAAAGTTCTTTGAATTACTTAGTCTGAACAGCTTCTTCTTCACAGGAGTGTGTAAGTACACACTACTGTAATCTTTATGAAATTGATAAGATACGAAGCCGGGCGCGGTGGCTCAAGCCTGTAATCCCAGCACTTTGGGAGGCCAAGGCGGGTGGATCACGAGGTCGAGAGATCGAGACCATCTTGGTCAACATGGTGAAACCCCGTCTCTACTAAAAATACAAAAAAATTAGCCGGGCCTGGTGGCGCGTGCCTGTAATCCCAGCTACTCAGGAGGCTGAGGCAGGAGAATTGCCTGAACCCAGAAGGCGGAGGTTGCGGTGAGCCGAGACCGCGCCATTGCACTCCAGCCTGGGTAACAAGAGCGAAACTCCGTCTCAAAAAAAAAAAAAAAAAAAAAGAAATTGAAATTGATAAGATACGTTGGGGCTACCAAAATACCAGAAACGAGATGCCTCAAATTTTTAAAAGGCACAGATTTTTAAAAAACTGTATCAGCAAATGAGGTTTTGATTCCTGGCCAGAAGTCAAATCTGTTTATTACACAGGGAATTGTGAGTCATTACAGAAGAAGAAAAACAAGTGTTCGGTGGTGGGGTTGAAAAAAGAAAAAAACAAACAAACAAAAAAAGTGTTCTAAGGCCCCCAACAAGGCTTTTAGAAGCCAAACCAGATTAACCTCATTTTTTTTTTTTTCCCAAAAAGAAAAACAATAAGGTTATTAGCATAGCTATTTGGGGGACTCTATAAATGAAGCATATCTTGAATTTGGCAAGACACTTGAGTGCCCCTCATATCCTCCTAGCACACGATGTAGAGCAGTATCTACTGTAATTAGTTACAGGGATTTGCAGCAAGATGCTGAGCCCTAAAAGAGTACTGGCAGCTGTGAGTCAGAAGGAAGTCTGTCTTACATACTCCAGAGTTCTGTACTTGCTCTGTTTTGGTTAAACATTGTATAAGCAAACACACTGAAACCAAAACTTTAAGACGCATCAATTTCCAGAGGACATAGATAATACCCATCTACTAGAAAATACAAAGATTCAAACAAAAAAAAATTAACAGGCAGAACAATGAACTAAAATCAAGTAAGATTACTGTAAGAGGAATGAGTTAACCCACATTTAAGCTTAAAATGTAACTATACCTAACAGCAACTGGCAAAAATCAGCTATAAACTCAGCAAATTCCAGCAAAATGCCAGATTGCAAGAACGTTAATGCAATCTTAGTCTGCAATAATAAAAGCACAGGACTGAAATAGTGCCACAGTTCTAAGTACGTATTCTGTGGTAAGCAGATAACATTTCAGTAATCATACTCACTGGAACAATTACACAATTATTAAAAACCTGTGTTATATCCTGAGCACAATCTGAATAGCCAAGGAACATATATCCTGGAAGAGAAATTTACGAGTGTCACAATGGCTACCTTTAAATCATCTGAAGGGCTGATACATAAAATAGGGATTCAACTTACTCTAGTTTTTTGCTTTGTTTTTGTGTTTGTGTGTGTAGCAAGGGGACAAAAATCTATTGCTAAGTTGTAGTTATAAAAAAGTAGACTTAGCCTGGCATAATATACTAGGTATTATAGAGTCACATACTAGAGTATACTTGCAAACTTGCTGATAGTAAGCTATCTACAGGAAATGCACATCCTATCTTGATTGGAGGAGAAGAAAATGAAAGAACATGTACAGTGTACTCGTTATATAATAAGTATATGTTATCTTATATAACAGATACAAAAACCTTTTATTTCATACGAAGAAACAAAGTTAGGTTCATAAGGAATCAGGGTATTCCAGCCAAATATGTATAATCTATACTTAAATTTGAAAAATAAAAGCATGAACTACAATTTCCAAGTATTTGTTTCTATTGTTGTTATTTCATTCACTGATGTCGATGTCTGAGGGAAGAAGTTAAGAGAGAAGGAACCAATTACAATTGTTCTTTCCATTTGAAACATCCTCTATGGTAAAAAACTTCCATCTTTCCCAGTACCTAGCATATTACTCTCAGCACTTCTGTTCAGTATTGTACTAGAGATTCAAGTTTCCTTTCCCCATTTAACTACCTTGGCACATCTGTTCAAAATCAGCTGACCACATATATGTGGAACTTTTTCTGAACTCTGTTAACATTCTGTACCATTCCTCTCCTCACCTATCTTACATCACACACTGTGGCTTACAGGAAATCTTGAAGTCAGGCAGTTCCAAAGAAAACAAGCTTAGATTCTTATACTAAGAAAAAGAAATAAAAGGTATTTAAACTGGAAGAGGAGAAGCAAGATTGTCTATTCACAGATGACACAGTCATTTATGTAGAAAATCCTATGTAGTCTACAAAAGAGATACTCAAATATGTGATGTGAGCAAAGTTGCAAATTATATGATTAATGTGCAAAAATAAACCGTATTTCTATATTCAATCAATGAACTAGAAAACACAACTGAAAATACTATTTATAGCCTCATCAAAAATCTGAACTATAAAGATAAATTTGACAGATGTTTAGATTTGTACAATAAAAACTACAAAGCATTAAAGATTTATTTATTTATTTGAGACAGAGTTTCCCTCTTTCGCCAGGCTGGAGGGCAGTGACACGATCTTGGCTTACTGCAATCTCCGCCTCCCAGGTTCAAGTGATTCCCCTGCCTCAGCCTCCTGAGTAGCTGGGACTACAGGCACGCGTCACCATACCCGGCTAATTTTTTATATTTTAGTAGAGATGTGGTTTTACCATGTTGGTCAGGATGGTCTCAATCTCCTGACCTCATAATCCACCTGCCTCAGCCTCCTAAAGTGCTGGGATTACAGGTGCAAGCCACCACACTCGGCTGTATTAAAGATTTAAATAAATCAGTCGGAAAACTCAGTATTGTTAAAATGTAAACTTTCTCCAAATTGATGTATGGATACAACTACATCTCAATAGACTTTTCATTTTTATTTATTTTTGGGGGGAACAGTCTCGCTCTGTCACCCAGGCTGGGGTGGAGTGGCATGATCTCAGCTCAGTGCAACCTCTGCCTGCTGGGTTCATGTGATTCTCCTGTCTCAGACTCCCAAGTAGCTGGGATTAAGACATGGACCACCATGTCTGGCTAATTTTTTATATTTTTAGTAGAGATGGGGTTTTGCCATGTTGACCAGGCTGGTCTGGAACTCCTGACTTCAAGTGATCTGCCTGCCTTGACCTCCAAACTGCTGAGATTACAGGTGTGAACCACCACACCCAGCCTTAAAAATTTTTTTTGTAGAGACAGGATCTCAGTATGTTGGGGCAAAGGTGATTTTGAACTCCTGGGCTCAAACAATCCACCCCCCTTGGCCTCCCCAAACCTTGCAATTACAGGTACAAACCACCATCCCTGGCCATTTTTTTAGAAATTAACAAGCTAAATTCTAAAATGTAAAACGTGAAACACAGAACAGCCAAAACAAGTTTTCAGAAGAAAATAAACTTAAGAGACTTATACTGCCCCACTTCAAGATTTCTTATAAAGCCACGGTAATCAAGAGCGTGTCTGATGTAAAGATGGGTAAGAAGAGCAATGGTATAGAATAACGGAGTTCAGAAAAAGATCCACATACATTGTGGTCAGCTGGTTTTGAACAGATCTGCCAAGGCAATTAAATGGGGAAATGAAAACTTTTTAACAAAGAGCATTGGAATAATTGGATGGCCACATATACAAGGCAGAAAAAAAAAAAAAGCCATAATCCTATGTTACATCATATGAAAAAAATCAACTGAAAATGGTTCATAGGCTAAAACTGTAAAATTTAAGAGCTAAAACTACTGATATAGTTTAACTGTATCGCCATTTTTCTAGATGGAGTTTCACTCTTGTTGCCCAGGCTGGAGTGCAATGGCACGATCTCGACTCACTACAAACTCTGCCTCCTGTGTTCAAGCGATTCTCCTGCCTCAGCCTCCCAAGAAGCTGAGATTATAGGTATGTTGCAGTAGAGACGGGGTTTCTCCATGTTGATCAGCCTGATCTTGAACTCCTGACCTCAGGGGATGTGCTCACCTCGGCTTCCCAAAGTGCTGGGATTACAGGAGTAAGCCACCACATGTGGCCTGGCAATGATGTCTTAAATATGACCGATATTCACCCGCATTTTGCAAAACGGATATACATACCACTTCTTGGTCTTTTCATAATGGATGATTTCCTTGGAAGATTTAACCCATTAGTACTAATCACTCGTTCAACTCCCACAGTACTTGGATTCTGCTTCAATCGTGTAGCCTTGGAAACAACACCCAACTCTGGTCTAGGACAATAATTCTTATGCCAAATGCTATGAACATTAGCTGGTTTTTGACATGTTTTGTCATCCCAACTATGACTTCTTGAATGGGCAGGCTAAAAAAGGAAAAGGAAAAAGGTTATTTGCAAAAAGAAAATAATCAATTTTTTTTCCTTCTGTATCAACATAAATTACAAATATTAAGTTGCCCTTAAAAATAACAGCGTTTGATGAAATAAATACCTGTCCTTGAATAACATTTCCTACTCTGCTGGTCCTATACTTTTCCATTAAATGTGTCTTATGTGAAGTCCACATTCTATTGGAAAGAATTAGAAAAGAATAGAAGCATAATGCTATATAGTAATAAGTGCTAAGTAGAAAAATAAAAGAGAAATGTTATTAAAAGTTGATTAATACGCTGGGCGCGGTGGCTCAAGCCTGTAATCCCAGCACTTTGGGAGGCCGAGGTGGGTGGATCACTAGGTCAAGAGATCGAGACCATCCTGGTCAACATGGTGAAACCCCGTCTCTACTAAAAATACAAAACATTAGCTGGGCGTGGTGGCGCGTGCCTGTAATCCCAGCTACTCAGGAGGCTGAGGCAGGAGAATTGCCTGAACCCAGGAGGCGGAGGTTGCGGTGAGCTGAGATCATGCCATTGCACTCCAGCCTGGGTAACAAGAGCAAAACTCCGTCTCAAAAAAAAAAAAAAAAAAAAAGGTTGATTAATACAATGAATGTGTTTAGTTTTACCTATGAATAAACTTGAGGCTACAGGAAAACAGAGATGCAAGGGACAGTCAGAATTCTGCAGTTGGAGCACAGCTGTGAGACTGGAGTAAAGAATTAAAGCCTTGGCATTACAGGAGCCCCTGTTGGCGGATGACTAAAGAGAGAATTATTTGACCCCCATGTCCCCATCTCCAACCTGACCAGACAGTCAGCAAACATCTACCTGCCTTCAGAACTAGAACTGAACTTCTGAAACCCAGAAAGAGTAACAGATGTAGCAGGCATTTCTGAAAGTAGAGAGATTCATTTGTCTGAAAACAGAGATTAAATAAAAGGCTAAATAGTAAATGGCAAGGAACCATGCAACCCCTTCCCGGCCTGCCCCAACTCACTTTCCTTATCCTGCTCTCAAAAGACAGCCAGCCAAAGTTTAGCCACCCTAAGCAGACCCTTCTTTTTGGAAAAATGTAACTGTGCAGAGAACATTCCAACGCTGGGAGAATTCACACATCAAGTCCAACGTGTTACCAATGACATCACCCAAGAACGAAGTCCAATATAATAAGCCCCACCCCTTCACACAATGCTTCCCGTGAGCTTTCCAGCGCCCCTTCAAATATGACTGAACAGAAGTTACTACCGTGAGGGAGAAAATACCAACACAGGAAAAAAATACACAGCAGTTACAGAGAGCAGAAAAAAAATGTCCAAAAACTTATCATAGTCTGAGAGAGAAAGATAACAGATGGCATCCAAATCTTAAAAAAAAAAAAAAAAGTACAATTAAAGAGCCCCTAGATATAAAAATATGATAGAAGGAAAAATTCAACAGAATTTCCTGCACTGATAGACAAGCTCCGTGCTGTTCACTATGTTAGCCACTAACCATTGAGCACCTGAAAGGTGGCTACTATAACTGGAGAAGTAAAACAGGCGTTTTATTTAACAAATTTACACAGCCACACATGGCTAGTGGCTACCATACGAGACGGGCTAGGTTAGAAGACAGGGAAATAGCAACCGAGGGTATTTTTAGTGTCGTTATCGATTTGCTCTCTTGGTAGGCTTGGCTTATTTCAGCTCACAGTAATGGTTACTTTTCAGTCCTCAATGGGTCACCAGTGTGTCAGTGGTCATCTTTTCCAGGCTCACTTCTTTTTTTTCTCAAGATCTGGTTCCTTTACATGGTAAACACTAAGACATTCTTAGTCCAGCCATCATGAACAACCTTAATATATCACTTTTACATATTAAGTTCCCTTAATAGATCACTTTTTTCTACATATGCTGGTTTTTGTTTTTTTTTTTAAGCCTGGAATCACTTACTCATCTTGAAAAACTCTGCTAATCCTCGCAAACTGAGGATACACATCAGTTTTTCTTTGAGCAGAGAGTAGAGGGCTTGGCTTGGAATCACAGCTCCCCTATTTATTAAAATGGTGAGCTGGGCAAGTTACTTAGGTGTCCTCTAACTGTTTCCTCATCTGTAAAATGAGAATGGTTCTGACTTCAGAGGCTTTCTGAAGAGTAAATGAGTTACTATGTCTAAGGTGCTTAAAAGAGCACCTGGAACACAGTAAATGCTCAGATGTTTGCCATTACTATGATGGAGCATTCTCTTAGGTGGAGTGAGGGACATGCTTCTCATTTGTTTCCACAGAGCCTAGAATGCATATTTAGTATAGCACTTACCACGTTTCTCTCTATATAATCCCATCTCTTTCCTATGTAGGCAATGGGCATTTGACAGGTAAGGATCTTATTTTCCTGTATTTCTTATTTTTCTTCATAGTCCAGAGGCCTAGCTAACCTAATTACACTGTTACAGTACTTGATCAATGTTTAGTAAAGGAATAAATTAGTGAGCAAGAATTAGACTGGAAGCTACGGAAAAGAAGAAATTGTTAACCAGAGGGCCAACTCAAAGAGACCAGAGGACGCAGGAACGAAATGGAAGCCAAAGTTTATTTCCAAGTTTTCCAGTCTGAGAGAACAAAAGAGACCTGCAGCTGACATTCATTCATTCAACATAATGAATGACATCTACACAATAAATATCGTATAGCCGCGAAGATCACAAAGTTCTGCCTTTATGAAGACCACATTCTACTGGGAAGAATCAGAATAGAAACATAGTGTTATACGGTAATAGTTGTTAAGTAGAAATATAAAAAGAAATGTTATTTGCCTATGAACAGACTGGAGGCTACAGGAAATCAGAGATGCAAGAGACAGAGAGAATTCCACGGTTGGTGCACAGGCAAGAGACTGGAGTAAAGATGGAGGCGTGAGTTCTTTGTGTAAATGGGATTAAAGCCCTAAGGACTTACCTACCCAGAAATGTAAACAGAAAAGAGAACAGAGGATAACAGAAATACAGAGAGAAAGAGAATGATGGGGGACCGCCTCTTGAGGAAGATATACAATGTCGAAGCAGAAGAAAACAGCAAATTGTTCAAAGAAACAGCAGAGGCGTGCACTAAGTATTTGTTAAACTGTGTATGAGTGAAAAAAAGTTTTTACTCCCTTGGTGTTCCTAGGTTTGGGTCTTTAACGATGCCAAATGCCACAGAAGCTAAATGGCATGAGATGAGACAGAACAGCATCAGATGCTTGGTATATTCAAATGAAATGCTCAAGGATAAGGTTTGATCATAAATAAGTCACTTCTTTTTTTTTTTTTTTTTTTTTTGAGACGGAGTTTCGCTCTTGTTACCCAGGCTGGAGTGCAATGGCGCGATCTCGGCTCACCGCAACCTCCGCCTCCTGGGTTCAAGCAATTCTCCTGCCTCAGCCTCCTGAGTAGCCGGGATTACAGGCAAGCGCCACCATGCCCAGCTAATTTTTCTTATTTTTAGTAGAGACGGGGTTTCACCATGATGACCAGGATGGTCTCGATCTCTCGACCTCGTGATCCACCCGCCTCGGCCTCCCTAAGTGCTGGGATTACAGGCTTGAGCCACCGCGCCCGGCCATAAGTCACTTCTTAATTTAAGAAAATTAACCAATATATGTTCTAACAGATGTAATTTCTCTAGGATTATGTTTTTAATGTACACTCTGCACAAAGCCTGGATAAAGAAATGCTTAAAAGATGCTTAGGGTATGAAGATTTGCCTTTAATACCAGTTCTTGAGATATAACTAAAATGTGCTTTCATAGGGTGGTCATCAAAACGTTACCATAGCAGTGTCTGGATTGTAGTCATCGATCTGTTCAAAAGTATTTACATCTTTATTTCCAAGTGCTATTTGAAGAGCTATGGAATCATCCACATATCTAGGTTGATAAGATTAAGGAAAACCATATTTATTAACAATCAACCAAATGATACTACACTAAGATGGAAAAATGTTTTCTATTGTCACAGAAAATCCGTAAGTTTATAACTTAAATGGAGTCTACTTACTTTACACATCAGCACTACTGAAAGCACATAGTTCGCTCTCTCTCTCTGTCCCTGCAGGAGTTAGTGTCTTCTGAAGCAAAGCCCCATGCTGTCATATCCTCCCCTTTCAAGGGAGATGGAAGAAAAAGTCCTAGCCACCACCTAAAGGACTCAGGGCTCTGTATCAGCCTCTGTGCACATGGTCAGTGGCAATGGGAAAGGCATCCTCTCCTGGTGCACTCAAATGCCCAGAATGCTCCTCTGAGAAATCGATCGTGCTTGCCATGAGGAGGTCCTCTCAAGAGCCACCTTTGGAATGTGACGGACCCTGTGCATGCTCCTGTCAGTCAATCTAAATAATCAGAAAGCACAGCGGATGAGCCTTAGGTTTACAAACAAAAAGTTGGGCTGGGCACGGTGGCTCTTGCCTGTAATCCTAGCATTTTGGGAGGCCAAGAGGCGCAGATCACAAGGTCAAGAGATCGAGACCATCCTGGCCAACGTGGTGAAACCCCGTCTCGAAAATACAAAAATTAGCAGGGTGTTGAGCCGTATGCCTGTAGTCCCAGTTGCTCAGGCGACTGAGACAGGATAATCGCTTGAACTCTGGAGGCAGAGGTTGCAGTGAGCCGAGGTCGTACCACTGCACTTCAGCCTGCGGACAGAGCAACATTCCATCTTAAATAAATAAATAAATAATTTTTTTTAAGTTGTCCCAAATTTTCACTAGCATGGTAATTTAAATGAACAATATACAGATTTCACTATAAAAAAGAAAGCAAAAAAATAATTTGCAAGCTTTTTACTAAATGCCTCACAAAAAATATCACCCTAAAAATATTGATTAAAAAAAGCACAAATTCCACGATTCTGGCTCAGAAAGGATACTGCCCAGCGTAGCTTAGTGTTTCAGGATCAACGTCATCTTCGTAGGCATTCAGAGGAACAAGTTTCCTTTTGATGGGATCAAAAACTAGCTGATAGAGGAAGGTATTGTTGGCTCGAATAAATCCTTTGATGTAATCCTCTGGTACTGTGATATTCATCTTGAGATAATGCCCAATTTTCTTGATAACCTAACAATGCAAAGCAAAAATATTTTATCTGCAACTAAAGAACTGGGAACATATAATTTTTTAATCACCCCTCACCCTCTAGAACAGGGAACATATTATCCTCAAGGCTGACTGACTTACATTACAGGATCATGAAGACGGACTGAAACATTAACTGCTTTCATTTACATCAAAAAAATTCTATCAGCAAATAGAATTTTTCTATAACCACATAATTTCACTTAAAATTCCAAGTCTCACAACTAGTATTTTCTTTGGTTTTTATTTATTTTTTCTTTTTTGAGATGGAGTTTCACTGTTGTTCCCCAGGCTGGAGTGCAGTGGCGTGATCTCAGCTCACTGCAACCTCCACCTCCCAAGTTCAAGTGATTCTCTTGCCTCAGCCTCCCAAGCAGCTGTGATTACAGGCATGAGCCACCACACCTGGCTAATTTCTGTATTTTTAGTAGAGATGGGGTTTCACCATATTGGCTAGTCTGGTCTCAAACTCCTGACCTCAGGTGATCCATCCGCCTCGGCCTCCCAAAGTGCTGGGATTACAGGCGTGAGCCACTACGCCTGGCCTTTCCTTGGTTTTTCTATTACTAATTTGAAGGATAAAAATACAGTTACATAATACTTCAAGTTTATCTTTCTAGGTGTAACTTTGAGATACATTATTCATTCATCTTCAAAGTTCTTTTTATCAAGAAAGGAAAAAACAAAGAACATACAAGTCTGAAAATTTAAAAAATCCAAATATTCTTAGCTTGTATTTTTAAAACAAGTTGACACTCTGATTTCTGTGATTCTTAAAGCTGGAAAGGATCCTAAACATTACAAAGTAAATTCATAGGTGAAAAATGGAAGACCCAGAGAACTGAAGGGATCCTGGGGTCACAGGCGAGTGACAGTATGTGGTCCTATTCTCACCTGGGATACTATCTCCCAACCTAGAGATCTTCCCATTACATTATGTCACCCTCAGCCCTGAGGACTATGCTTTGTACTCTTGAAAATAGAAAAATGGAATTTCTGCTCTCTAAACTGTAAGGGCTTTAGAGAATATCCAAGGGAGAAAATGAGCTTCTTTAATGTTTATTTTTTAAGAGAAACAACAAAGTAGTGATATCCAGAGTCTCAGAATTTTCCAGAGGATGTATGACACATGATATCAAATGAGACTTAATGAGGCAGCAGATACACGTTCGGTATACATTATCCAAACTTCTTGGCACCAGAAGTATTTCAGATTTTGAATATCTTCAGATTTAGGAATATTTGCATATACACATATGAGATGAGGTGGGGATGGGGCCCAAGTCTAAACATAAAATCCATTTCCGTTTCCACACACTGACAGCAAGAAGGTGAAGAAGACAATAAAACCGAATTATGTTTCATATAAGTCTTACACACATAGACTCAAGGTAATTTTATAGAATATTTTGAATAATTTTGTGCACCGTTCACATGAGATCAGGTGAAGAATTTCTCACTTGCCATGTTGGGGGTCAAAAAGTTTTGGATTTTTTTAACATTTCAGACTTTTGGATTAGGGATGTTCAACTTGTATATGAACACAGCTGTCTTCTATTAGGCCACATTAAAGAGATTTCCATAAATACATGCATGATTCATCTCTCTCATAACTTTTGTTTTCAAAAATATGGTTATTCTTCATAAAAGCATGCTATTTATGCTCATTTGTTTATTATAGAGTTTAAATAAATTGATAAATGTTTAAATTTTTGTTTTAATTTTTTTTTTTTTTTTTTTTTTTTTGAGACTGAGTTTTGCTCGTTACCCAGGCTGGAGTGCAATGGCACGATCTCGGCTCACCACAACCTCCGCCTCCTGGGTTCAGGCAATTCTCCTGCCTCAGCCTCCTGAGTAGCTGGGATTACAGGCACGCACCACCATGCCCAGCTGATTTTTTGTATTTTTAGTAGAGACGGGGTTTCACCATGTTGACCAGGATGGTCTCGATCTCTTGACCTCGTGATCCACCCGCTTCGGCCTCCCAAAGTGCTGGGATTACAGGCTTGAGCCACCGCGCCCGGCCCTTTTGTTTTAATTTTTAATTCAGTAAATAACAATAGCTATCACCTACATATACCAAAAATATTGCCATACAGAACTTTAGGAGCGTAAAGGGATCCTGACACCAAGCACTTTGAGAGCCACCACTACAGAATTCCAGCACAGAGGTCAAAAGACTGTTAAGTTTAATTTTACCCTAGAATATTCTGCTCTTGAGCCTCTTTATATCAGTCTTTATTTTTAAAATCACTACTTTTTTGTCAACTCAGAAAACATGATTCTTCCAATGTATGTTTGCTGCTAAGGCAAAGTTCTAGTGCCGGTCATTTGCTCCTTTTAATAATGTAACATAGGTTATTCACATAACATAAGATTTAAAATCGATATTCTGATTTATTATTTTATTAAGGAAATGCTTCAGAAATGGAATACACTTGGCAGATCACTCTTACCTTTACTATATCTGGATTATTGGCTAGTTTTAGGACTTTGCATGCCTTTGCTAATCCAATCCCACGCAGTGATGAGAGGTAGTCACAGCCTGAAAGAATACACATGTAACGAAATTTCTCTTCAGTGAATACATCCCCAAGCTGTCTGCACATTCCTAGCCGAGCCTGATCAACTTCAAGTCCATTTCCAAACTGATCCATCTTTAAAATCACCTTCAAAAGGAAGAGAAATCGTTAATACCTAGCAGGGCCACTTTTATTTGTTATTACTAATCCACTGCAATAATTTTAAGAAATCTTTCTTGTTCTTCACCATAACACTGAGAGGAGACACAGACAGACAGGCTGATGATTCAAATTACGCTGAAGCATAGGATATGACTAGACAAGGATATACAGCCAGGACTCACTTGTCACAATTATGGTATAAAGAAAGCTCTTTTTCTATCTCTTTATTTCCTACCTGTGTTACAGGGTTGTAGTGATGATGAAATCGTAATGTACACAAAAACATTTTCTCTGCCTTTACCTTTTAAGTAATCTTTTTCCTTATTATTGAAACAATACATGTTTATTGTAGAAAATTTGGAAAACATGGAAATTCAGGAAGAAAACAAGTCATCTATATTCCCCCATTTATCACTGTAACCTAGCATTAACCTTTTGATAGACTCTTCTAGTCATAAATATAGGCATTAACAAAAATAAGAGCAGCCTGTAGTTTTGTATCTTAATTCTCCCCTACAGTTTTCCATGAAATAGTTTTATTCATAATTCCAAATAAATGCATAGCAACCCATTAGCACAAAAGTTAGTATACCCAACGTAACTGAGAAACATAAAGCGTATGTTGTCATTATTCAAAAACAAAACTGGTAAGTCCATATTCTACTAAAGAATTTGTAGAAAACAAAACAAAACCCTCCAACCTTAAGGGCTTACTCTGAAAAAGTACCCAGATTACACAAATGTCCAGGAGCAAAGACTTTCTTTTCATTTTTAAATAAAATAATTATTAATATTATAAAAATAGATGTCAGGTAAAAATATTCTATGAAGTAATTTTATATTTCACAATCTTTATAAATTTTATAAATATTATAAATACTATAAACATTTTATTAATATTATAACTGATAATTTCCTGGACAGGAAAAACTTCAGCTCCTTGATGTACACTATTCCCATCTACATAGAAAAGTAACATGTAGTAGTAGGGTTAAGTACCTTTTTACAGCCAAAAGCTAGGAGATCCGAGTCCTCTGTAATTATAGCTTGTACAATTCCCGCTTTGTTGAGGTAGGCCAGCTGCGCATCAGCTTCATATGGAGCCACGAGGCAATCTACTCCCTGAGACCGGGCAGCCTGGAGGAGAGAATCACAATGAATCTCCAGCACAGCATCTGGAAAGCATTAAACAACTTCCTGTTTCAAACCCACTTTATTACCAGCCTCAGCACGCACATGCCAATATTACTTTGAGAAATCATTTCCTCTGAAGTAGAGTTTTTCTACTGCAACTTCCAGTATATGTTGAACTAATTATATAGCCACTAAGACATTTTTAAAAAAATCAATTTATAAAATTTGGAGAAAAGAAATACTCCTATACAGTCAGAGGAAAAAAAAAAATCCTACAAGCCCAAAAGTAATTATTTTATTTTTTTGAGACAGGGTCTGGCTCTGTCACCCAGGCTGGAGTGCCATGGTGCCAGCCATCAGGGCCCACTGCAGCTTCGACCTCCTGGGCTCTGGGCTCAGGTGATAATCCCACTTCAGCCTCCCGAGTAGCTGGGACTACAGGTGCATGCCACCACATCCAGCTAATTTTTTTGTATTTTTTGTAGAGACAAGGTTTTGCCAGGTTGTCTAGGCTGGTCTCAAACTCCTGGACTCAAATAATCTGCCTGCTTCAGCTTCCCAAAGTGCCAGCATTATAAGCGTGAGCCACTATGCCTAATTATTTTAAATTACAGAAAGCTTCCTCCCAATTGACACGAACCCAGAAATTAAAAAAAAAAAAAAAAGAAAGCTTCCGTCTTAAGAACAGCCACGTTCCAAAAAGCCACGTTCCAAAAATACACATTTGTTTGGAGTTTTGAATATATTTTCCCCATAAAAGTAACGGGTTGTCCTGTCAGGCTACAAAAGTCGAACAGGGTACTGACACAGTATTGATAAAATTATAGACCATATCCAGCAATGTCTTGGAGGGAAACATACACATATGTATGTACATATATACACACATATATAACTCTCCTCTAATAATATACATATATTAAATATTACAGACTATAGAACTATATTTAAACCAATGCATTATAAGAAAATACTTCTAAAATAATATTGCCGAGAGACAGAGTCCCTATCATAGCCTCTGTGTCAAAATCTAGGCAGTTGGAACTGGAACTTCCTTGTTCTAAATCACAGGAAAATGGTTCCCAAGGCCCAAAGAGAGAAGAAAAAAAAGAGGAAGGAGGTATCAATAGCTGCTACTATCAATTTTGGTGACAACTTGCAATTTGCGATTTTTCTCATTTTTTTCTTTTTCTGCCCAGCAACAGTGCTCCTCTCACCGGGGTATGCCACTACGTGTCCAAGGTTTCTCCTCTACTTCCACACACGATGCGGCCTCTCTTCTTGTGACTACACAGAGCACACATTTTCTCCTAGACTTCACTCTCTCCTGCATCCCATCCTTTCCTCTTGACCCATACGGAAAAGAGCCAGACTCAAATGACAAAGCCAAAATAAGTACTGTAGTATTTATTTTAGCTCAGGAATGGGATGACAGAACTGTTTTAAGCTAGAAAAAGCTGACTCTGACAGGCGTGGTGGCTCCCGCCTGTAATCCCAGTACTTTGCGAGGCCGAGGCGGGCCGATCATGAGGTCAGGAGTTCAAGACCAGCCTGGCCAACGTGGTGAAACTTCGTCTCTACTAAAAAAAAAAGATACAAAAATTAGCTGATGTGGTGGTGTATACCTGTAATCCCACCTACGGGGAGGCTGAGACAGAAAAATCGCTTGAACCCGGGAGGCGGAAGTTGCAATGAGCCGAGACAGTTGGGTGATAGAGCAAGACTCCATCTCAAAAAAAAAAAAAGAAAAAGCTGACTCCACCTTTAGCAACCCACCTTTAACAGGCCAGGCACAGTGGCTCATGCTTGTAATCCCAGCACTTTGGGAGGCCGAGGCAGGTGGATCACCTCAGAACGAGAGCTCAACATCAGCCTGGGAAACAGAGAGGAACCCCATCCCTATTAAAGATACAAAATTAGCTGCGCGCAGTGGCTCATGCCTGCATTCCCAGCACTTTGAGAGGCCAAGGTGGGCAGATCACCTGAGGTTGGGAGTTCAAGACCAGCCTGACCAATATGGAGAAACCCCCTCTCTACTAAAGTCACAAAATTAGCCGGGAGTGGTGGTGAATGCCTGTAATCCCAGCTACTTGAGAGACTGAGGCCGGAGAATCACTTGAACCTGGGAGGTGGAGGTTGCAGTGAGCCGAGATCACACCACTGCACTCCAGCCTGGGCAACAAGAGTGAAACTCCATCTCAAAACAACAATGACAACAACAAATAAAAAACCCCTGTACCAAGCACGTTCTAAGAAGGGGAAAGTGAGGGCTGGGACTGTGGGCACCCCGACACTGAGATTTACAGGGATAAGGAAAGAAGCTGCTTCAAGGAGGAGGTAACAGGGAACAGAAGTCTGTAGGGTGCCTGAGGCAATGAGGCTAAATCGCAGACCTCTGTCATCGGAGAGTGCCAGTTACAGTAAGTGTTGAGACTACAGGAGAGTTGGGTGAGACCAACACTTCCAGGGATTTATTCCTTCCACCTCTTTATTTTTTTTATTTTTAATAGAGATAGGGTCTCACTATGTTGCCCAGGATGGTCTCAAACTCCTCAGCTCAAATGATCCTTCTGCCTCAGCGTCCTGAAGTGCTGGGATTACAGGTGTGTGTGCCCGGCCCTCTTCCTTCCATTGTTCTGGAACATAACTAAAGAGAGAACCTTACTTATGCCTAAGAATTTCTCCTGAAAATTGTTGAACTCTTCTTTATCTAATGATACTGTTCCCTTCTTCGGATATCTGTCCCTTACTTGAGATTAGGCCTAGAACGATTTTCCACCCTTGATTTTCTTGCTCTCCCATTAATAAACAACTTATAACTAGCTTTAGTGAACTTGCCCACCTGGCCATTCAACTTCATTTTTTATTGGCTTACTTTAATTACTTTGTGGGCCATAGCGTGTGTGATATTGATAGACCGGGTGAAACACTCTCGGGCCTCCGAGACTTTCCCCTCACGAAGAAGCTGCTTTCCCTTAAGAAGATTGGCTTGTCGCCTTCTGCAAGGGAAGAACATTTTTAAAATATAAAACATTTAAGAGGCTGACTCAAGAAACTATAACAAAACAATAATTCAAGAAGCTTTCCTAAAATTGAAACAAGTTTTTGACTCATTTGAAAACACACACCAGCTCCTTGAGAACATTAACCCTAATGCTTTGGGCTTCTAAGGCCAAAAAAACACGTGATTTCAAATGTATATGTGCACACACACACAAGATTACCATCAGGCTTTTCCACAATAATTCTTTTACGTCAAAGAAAATGCAGTAACTAAGATACTTTTTTTAAAAAAAAGTGAAAATAATGTAGTAGATACATAACACTTAAGGAAATCTGTTCACATACTAGGCTACAAAATAAATTTTTATTTAATTAAATTTTATTTAATTTAAAATTAAAATGTTATTTATTAATTTGTTTAAGCCAAGCACAATGGCTCATGCCTATAATTCCAGCACTTTGGAAGGCTAAAGCAGTTGGATCGCAAGGTCAGGAGTTCAAGACCAGCCTGGCCAACATGGCAAAACCCTGTCTCTACTAAAAATACAAAAATTAGCTGGACATGGTGGCATGCACCTGTAGTCCCAGCTACTTCAGAGGCTGAGGCCCAAGAGTTACTTGAATCCAGGAGATGGAGGTTCCAGCAAGCTGAGATTGTGCCACTGCACTCTAGCCTGGGCAACAGAGTGAGACTCTGTCAAAAACTAAAAATTAAAAAAATTAAAAAATACTTTTTAGTGACTGGATCTTACTATGTTGCCCAGGCTGACTACAGTGGCTGTTCACAGAAGTGATCAGAGGTCACTAAAGCGTTGAACTCCGGGGCTCCAGTGATCCTCTTGCCTCAACCTCCCGAGTATCTAGGACAACAGGGGAAGCCACTGAACCTGGCTTAAAATTTCAAAAATTGGTATCCTATAGACTACAGTGTCTGACCTTGGTGCAATGAAGTTAGAGATTAAGTAGAGGAATAACTTACTCTCTTCTAGATCTCTCTACTTCCTTTTTAGAAGGTAAAGTACATCCATCAAATACGAGAATAGGCTTGATCCCATGAGATAGCAACATATTTACAAATTTCATACAAAATCCTACATACCTATGGAAATAAAGAAAAATACATTTAAGTGCTTTGCCTTTTGTAAGGTAATACTACTTCTGCTCTACTTTAGGCCAGATGAGAAGGTTTTTTACGTTGTTATTTTAAGCAAATGTTTTCATAGGAATTGGAACTCTGACTAGACTTGGATTCAAATCCCGCCTTGGATACTTATGAGCCATGTGATGTCTGGTGAACTACTTGACCCTCCAAGTCTTGGTTTCTTTATCTGTAAATTAAAGAGCTTTGATATTCCTAATTCTGACATCTTTGTTTCAAATCTGGTCTTTTTCTGCCATTTTTTTTTTAATTTTAAAAAATTTCAAATCTATTGAAAAGTTGAAAGAACAGTATAACAAACACTGGATTCCTCCAACAATACCATATAGCAGCCATGTAATTTAATAGTGATACAGTATTATCTAATTCTCAGTGTATATTATAATTGGTACCACTGTCTCAATAATGCTTTTTATATTCAGTGGTGTCCTGGTAAATGTTTAACCACCAGTTCTGGGGGAAGAGGTGCCTGATTTCCCTGACATAAATGTTCCACAATGGCAGATGAGCTACCTACATGAACTCAACAAATGCTGAGTTGAGAAAACATGGTGTGTAAAGAGCTCACAGGAACTGGCTCCAGGACACCATTGCTACTGTTTTTTCCAAATTCAAGATCCAATCAAGGATCAGGTATTGTATTAGGTATTGTGACAAAAACAACTGCATTCACAACTTCTATCATTTTTTTTTGAAAAGAAAAAGGCATTTTAGCTGAAAAACAGGAATGGGAAAACATAATCTTTAAAGACAATCTTTTCATATAACACAAATTTAGCAGCTAAAATAAAGAAAAAAAAAGATGAACTTTTAAATCATATATAGTCACCAAGTGACAGGCTCTGTGCCTGTAATCCCAGCAGTTTGGGAGCCTGAGGCAGGAGTATCATGAGGTCAGGAGTTTGAGACCAGACTGACCAACATGGTAAAGCCCTGTCTCTACTAAAAATACAAAAAAAAAATTTCTGGGCGTGGTGGCAGATGCCTGTAATCCCAGCTACTCAGGAGGCTGAGACAGGAGAATTGCTTGAACCTGGGAGGCAGAGATTGCAGTGAGCCGATATTGCACGATTGCACTCCAATCTGGGTTACAGAGTGAGACTCCGTCTCAAAAAATAAATAAAAAAATAAATCATATATAGTCATCTTCATAGGAGACTCACTACATTATTATCCTATTTTTTTCTATTTGTTGTAGGTCAGTCACAGTGAACTTGCATTGGTACAGAACAATGATTGGGACCTGTTGATCATAAAGCAAAATTTAGGAGAAAGTCAATGTGAAATTAGAACAAATCTTACAAGACATTTGTTTTTTGCTAACTAGGATTAGCAGTATATTTTCTGTACCCAAGAGTGTGGGAGTCAGAAATTATCACGGATTTTCAAAGCATTGTTAAAAAATTTATCTTAGGTTAAGAATTGGGCCAGACACAGTGGCTCATGCCTGTAATCTCAGCACTTTGGGAGGCTGAGGCAGGTGGATCATTTGCGGTCAGAAGGTCGAGACTACCCTGGCTAACATGGTGAAACTCCATCTCTAGTAAAAATACAAAAATCAGCCAGGCGTGGTGGTACATACCAATAATCCCAGCTACTTGGAAGGCTGAGACAGGAGAATCACTTGAAACTGGGAGGCGGAGGTTGCAGTGAGCTGAGATCATGCCACTGCACTCCAGCCTGGGTAACAGAGAGATTCCATCTCAAATAAATAAATAAATAAAGGAGATATTAATAGTCTTTGGTTTTCATCCATTAGTGTCTTGATACTCTGGCTTATTATAAAGAAAAAAACTAGGCTCGTCCGATGGTAGGGTGTTATCAAAACTTATTAACATTAGTGTCACTAAAGTTAGTATACAACCCCCACTGCTAAATTTGACTGGCTTTTAAAAAATAAATAAATAAAAATAGAAAGAGAAAACTAGGCCATTATCACAGAGGGAAGTCACCCCTGATTTGGCAATATTCTAAAACATACAACTCTCGCTTCCTTATAAATTATGGCATTGAGTGAAAACAATCCATTTCCGGGGTTGGGGGAAGGCATTGTACGACTCATTCTTAATTGTCAAAGAATTAATATAAAGTCCAGACTTACCTATCGGTAGGTTCACCTTTGGCTAGTTTTTCAGCACAAGCAATAGCTCCTTTGTGAAGCCAGCAATACGTATCCACAGCTACTACCTGCCCTTTATACTTCCTCACGTGGATGGGTTCAGAAGCTTCTTTGATAAACTGTAGCAAGCCATGTATCCCCATGGTGCCAAATTAACTACACGACATGAAAAGAGACAGAACAGTAATATTTAAAGAAAAATACCTTTATCAAGATATTTTGGATAAATAAAGAGAAAGAACTGGGAGTCCAATGTAGAAATTGTTTAGATATTCGAGAATCACTAATCTTTCATATTTCAGCAGGGCTCCTCCCTGTCGAACAATTTCCATAGGGTAGAATTTACATTAATTACTAATACTACCCCTAATGCCACTTGACAGTTGCTTAATGTTTATTGTATTCAAAGTGCTTCTGTACTTTGACTCCTAACATATGCACAAACAAAACCATGCATGTGATGGCATCACACTACCTCTACAGAAGGGATTCATTATAAGGGCCAACATGCAATTCAAGTAAGAGTAGAAACTCAAAACAGTTTGTAGGAAGGTAAGCATTTCAATTAAAAAACAAAGGAAAGGCCTGGTGTAGTGGCTCACCCCTATAATCCCAGCACTTTGGGAGGTCGAGGTGGGCAGATCACCTGAAGTCAGGAGTTGGAGACCAGCCTGGCCAACATGGTGAAACTGGTAAAACCCCGTCTCTACTAAAAATACAAAAATTAGCCAGGCGTGGTGGTGCACGCCTGTAGTCCCAGCTACTCAGAAGGCTGAGGCAGGAGAATCACTTGAACCTGGGAGACAATGGTTGCAGTGAGCCAAGATGGCACACTGCACTCCAGCCTGGGCAGCAGAGTAATACTCCGTCTCAGAAAAAAAAAAAAAAAAAAAAAACAGAAAAAATTCAAAGAGTTACAGAAATGATCCTGTACTTTTTTAGTACTGAAATTCGCGGCTGTCAGAATGCATTATTCCAAGCACAAACATTCTGGTCATAAACAGTGGCCGTGCCTAGGGGCAAATCCACCTGTCTCTCAGAAAGCTACCCCAAAGAACAGTGAAACTGCGTCTGCTATGCAAATACAGCTTCAAGACAAATGCTTTAGCTTTCCACCTGCTTCCATTCTGGTTGCAGCCCCCAAACCCTTTCTATGCAAAGATTCTGGAACTGTCACAGCCCTTTCTGATGAACGGACCTACTCCCCCTACTCTACAATAAAAAGTCAGCAATGTGCACTGACCAGTTGTTTAGCGTTTCATAATATAAATCTCTCCTACCAAACATTAAGTATGGAAGGAAGGGAAGAAAGAAAGTACAGGATCAGAAGTCAGCTTTTATCAGAGCTCTAAAGGCTCTACACCAGCAGTTCTCAAATTTCAGAGGTTCTTAGATTCTCAGTTTCAATCGGTGATTGGGATTCATCAGTTTTTCCTGTGAGGCTTGGGACTCTGAATTTTAAACAGAGCAGGTTACCTGGATGCAGGTGGTCCTCGAGCTACAGGTTCAGAAAAACAGTCTCTTATCTCTCAGATGATGTCTAAAGTTTTCTCTCACTCGGAGGAAAACGGATATAATAGTTCATGAAATTTACCTAAGTTCCTTTCTGGGCCAGGCAAATATCCTCGAATAAGTATTTCTTCTTTACCGCAGTAAGAATGGCTGAGTGTAATAGTAAGAATGAATGAGCACGTATCTCAAAGAGATCGAATGTGGCACTCGAGGTAACAGTAACACCATCTTCACATTATCCCTCTGTCTCGCGGAGATGTGCGGGCTTGGCCCCAAGCCCATTCCAGATAACACGTTTCCTTAGGCCTGCATAACATTATGGAAAAATGTACTCGTCAACATTTTTTTGCTTTTTTGTGAGACGGGAGTTTTACTCGTTACCCAGGCTGGAGCGCAGTGGTGTGATCTCTGCTTACAACCTCCGCCTCCCGGGTTCAAGTGATTCTCCTGCCTCAGCCTCCCAATTAGCTGGGATCACAGGCGTGCACCACCACACCTGACTAATTTTGTATATTTAGTAGAGACAGTGTTTCTCCATGTTGGTCAGGCTGGTCTCGAACTCCCGATCTCAGGTGATCCACCCGCCTCGGCCTCCCAAAAGTGCTGGGATTACAGGAGTGAGCCACCGCGCCGGCCACTTGTCAACATTTAAAGGTGGAGAGGTTGCATGTAAAACCTGGACTGCCAGTTTCTGGGGATAAATGAGAGAAGTCTGGCAACCCTGGCGCCTGCTCCAGCTCGGAATCATTTGCTCTTTATCTCCCTCCGTTCACTAATCGCAGGCCTCACGTGGCCAGACGTCCCCTAGGAACAAAACAACATATACTCCACTCAGGCTGAAGGCTCTGCTGTCAGGTCCACGCCAGATCCTCTCCTTCCCTTCCTGGAAGACCCCGAATCCCGAGAGAAGGGTCAGAGGGGTGACACGCAGATCGACCCCCAACGGAACCCAACCCATTAGCCGCCTCACAGCCCGCTCCTCTCACCTTCCAAGAAGGGGCTCTCCTTGTCCCCTTGAACGGAGCCGAGTGGGGCTGGAGAAATCCGCCCCTGACGCCCCCCAACTCACTGAGGCCAGAGCACCCACGACCAGCGACGCCGAACACGGGATAACCCGGCGGCACCGCGCGCGAAAGCCGGACCTTTCAATTTGCGCGGGTTCCTTGTGGCCCCGCCCAGCGGATGTGACGTCAGCGCGCATCCCGCAACCCGGCTCCGCCCCCTGCGGCTTCCAACTCTTAGGGTCGCATTCTGAGCCCTCGGTCTCGCTGGACAGACACGGGTCCGCTGCCCTAAGACTCCAGTCGCTGCTGCCGGCCGGAACACCATGCGGCTTCTTGGGGGCGCGGGTGAAACTGGCGCTACTGGTCGATGGCGAGCCCCGGAAGTTGGGCGTGTTTACAGCCGCAGAGACTGCTGGGGGTTGTAGTTTTCTCCTGGCTGCAACCCCGGCTCGGGAGGCTGACATTTAAAGAGCACCGCCGCGCGTTTGTGTTGAGGTTTTTCAAACGTGGGAAAGGAGGTGCGCTGGAGTTCGTGGCTCAGTCCCCCTCGGCGTCCTCAGTCCCATCCTAATTCCTTCATTCTCTTTAAAACGCCCAGTCACCTCTGTACAAATCGAAATTGAATACAGTTCACGCTGGGCTTTTTTTTCCCATTGCAGTAGTAGTATAGGTTAAAATCTGTTTCTACCACTTTACCTAGAATCCAGCTTCGTTTATTTTTAACGTAAGTGGGGGAAAATTAACTACAGAACAAGGTCTTGAAAATGGACCTTACAGACAAAGACTGTAAAGGCATTTCGGACTTTCCCGGCCATTTGTGGCTAGGTTTCCAGTCCGCATAATATCCCAGACCTAGTCGCTGTCCTCTTCCCTTAGGAATATTGTGATTAAAAAAAAAAAAAAAATGCAAGAAACCTTAGGCCGGACCACGGAGTAATGCTCTGGGCTCAGACATCAAATAATTCAGACTCAGTTCAAGAAATTGAAGGGGAAGAAGAAAATGCTCCCCATTTGATTACCTTCTTTACATAGTTATCCCTTCTTTTAAAGTCTTTTCATGATCAGTCTAACATCTATATGCCAATTTTTCTTTCTTTTTTTTGAGACGGAGTTTCGCTCTTGCTACCCAGGCTGGAGTGCAATGGCGCGATCTCGGCTCACCGCAACCTCCGCCTCCTGGGTTCAAGCAATTCTCCTGCCTCAGCTTCCTGAGTAGCTGGGATTACAGGCACGCGTCACCATGCCCAGCTAATATTAGTATTTTTAGTAGAGACGGGGTTTCACCATGTTGACCAGGATGGTCTCGATCTCTTGACCTCGTGATCCACCCGCCTCGGCCTCCCAAAGTGCTGGGATTACAGGCGTGAGCCACCGCGCTCGGCGCCAGTTTTTAAGACATCTATAATGCCTTGAATTTGTTACTAAAATTGTTGAAAAGCTGCCACCCCTGGGGAATGTGCTTGGGAGAGCAGGCTTGCTTCCTCCCTGGTTCTGTTCTGCAGAGCTGCGACTACGTGAGATGAGAAAAGTCATCTTCCCTCCCTCTTCCAAGGGCTACGGTACACCTCACCCTAAACTAGCTGGGAGTGGATCTTGGGGAAGGTGGGAGACACTTTCAAACTGCCTTACATTAAAGAGGCACTTCCGTGTGTGCAGCATGTGTTTGCAGAGAAGCCTTCTTATAGCCATGGGACTATCCAGCTGTAGTAACCGCTTCAGTGCCTAGAATCCAGCTATGACTATGTCACACATGACGGTCTTAGGAAGGTACAACAAAATAAAAAAGATCCCCATTCCGGCTGGGCACAGTGGTTCATGCCTGTAATCCCAGCACTGTGGGAGGCCAAGGTGGGCAGATCACCAGGTGAAGAGATTGAGGCCAACCTGGCCAACATGGTGAAACCCGTCTCTACTAAAAATGCAAAAATTAGCCAGGCGTGGTGAGGTGCCCCTGCAGGCCCAGCTACTTGGCAGGCTGAGGCAGGAGAATCATTTGAACCGGGAGGCAGAGGTTGCAGTGAGCTGAGATCACACCACTGCACTCTAGCCTGGAGGCAGATCGAGACTCCATCTCAAAAAAAAAAAAAAGGTGCCCATTCCAGCTACACTGAATCCATCATAAAACTAGAGTAAGAGTTTGCTGCACTGCAAAGGGCTTGTGTATTTACTACAAATTAGACTCCCAAGGTTTCAGATTGGGTTCTTGGCTGCAGTGTTGAAAGACTAAAACTGAAAAAGAAAACCCTAGTTACAATACACTTCGTGAACAGAATGTTTTTTCTCTTTGGGAGGACAAAATCACTGGCATCAATTTGTGCAGTAATTTACTACTGCCTTAAGTGTGCCTGTCAGTGCCAGGTGGTGTGGGGATCATAAAGAGATGACCTGTGTGTTCAAGGAACTTAGAATCTAGTTCTGTAGACAAAGCGCAGTTTTATCAAACCGTGAAGTCACAAATCATGATGGCATGTTTACTAAATGCTAAAAAAAAAAAAAAAAAAAAAGGTATATCTCACACGTTTCCAGTTTAAGATTCAGTTCCAATGTTACCAGTTTCCAAATGTCTTCCCCAAGTTGGATATTTGTTTGATATGCACAAGCATTCTGTGATGACTCTTGCCCTGAGG